TATATTCACTGTCATCAAGGTGAATTAGTTTTTAGTTCAGAATTAAGTAGTAGATTATAATAATAATACGTACGGAAAGTTTAACTTAGTCTCTTTATTCACGACAAATAGAACTTAATTACTTAACGACCGAGGACGTGGCGATAAGCTTTAGTGTTTCGGTTCAAAGATCCCCTTCGTGATCCACAAAGGCCCAACGTATTGGTAATATTTATCCATTATTCCCTATTATGTATATAGCTACCTAAAAGAGAGGGATACGTAAATGAAACCCCCCCCCCCCACCGTGGTACTTGGGCACTCGTGTCACATTTGGTCTCGCTAGCTAGCTCCAAACCTGTGGGAGGAATTCGCGGAGAAACAAATTCACAAACAGAGAACGTGAATTAATACAGGATTTGAAGAATATGTAGCATTAACAGCAGTAAAAGCATGGCAGTTTCGGTTTGAAATTGTATAACCCAAGTCGGGGAGACTTAGGGCCATACATAACCGGGGGTGTTCAGAAAGTCTTTTCTCTTCACCCTGCTCGTTATTTACAATTTCGTGGGTGGCTTAATTTTGATAGAAAAACCTGTGATGGAGGAAAAAAAAAGTATTTACCACGGAGGTTTCATTTGGCAGGCAACAAGTAAAAGGACGGCCGGAACAAAAGCTAATAATATGAGCACACAAGAAAACGGCCAATATGGGACTAATGGGCGGCGGGGGATCAAAATATCAAGACTGGACTTCTTATAGTGGTGGACAGTATACTAAGAGAGTGCAGAGAGTGAAAAGCAATTAACGACACCCTACATATAACACACACTCCACCATTTTCATTTGATATTGGCTATTTATCTTCATTAAACGTGTTTTCACTTCACTGTACACTATACTACCTGAATATTATACACCTATACTGTAAACAAAGCGATTTTGAAAGGTTGTTTGTTTGAAGTTAAGCACAAAGCTACACAATGGGCTATCTGTGCTCTGCTCACCACGGGTATCGAAACCCAGTTTTTAATGTTGCAAGTCCGCAGACATACCGCTGTGCCACTGGGGGGGGGGGCAGTGTTGAAAGCTTGTCTACTTACTATTGAACGCAGAGGTAAGATCTCGAATCAGCTATTATTATCTTTTATCATCATGAATGTACCCACGTTACCAATTTAAGACCGAAACTGTGTAATAATGTGTTGGTACTTAGGAATGACACTGATGGTACTACGAACTAAAAGAAGAAAAAAAATGCAGTAATTACTACCAAAAGGAAATGTTCATGGCTTTATTTGTTTATTTAATTTTTTTATTAGGAATTTTGTGTAGACCTAAAGAACAAATGCTTGAAATATATCAACTCTAGAATTAACGATTTTTTATATATTTAAAAAAAAAGGGCTGGGCGTGACCAAGTGGCTAGCATGCTGGACGGTGGCTCTGAAGAGGGTCCATGGTTCGCGTTCCTTTGTTGAAAAATAAATCATTATATAACAAATGACGCTTCACACTTTGAAGCCGTTGGCGCGTTATAAGAGTGACGGTCAAAACCCATTATTCGATTAGAGAATCTCAAAGTTAGCAGTAGGTGTTATCGATTAGCTCCCTCTAGTCTATCAACTTAAGCCGCCCAGTTGCACAGCGGCATGTCTGCGGACTTACAACGTTAGACATAGGGGTTTCGATACCTGTGATGGGCAGAGCACAGCTAGCCCATTGTGTAGCTTTGTTTTTAACTACAAAAAAACAAAACAAACTATCAATTCAAAATTAGGGACGGCTAGCGCAGATAATTCTCGAGCAGCTTTGTGCGCAACAAACAAACATCAAAAACTAATACCTTTCTCACTCGTAAAGAACCTTGGGAACAGTTACCCTATCCTAATCCAGTTTTGAGTTTGATTTTCTCTAATCTTGTTCTGTTTATTTACACTAACTCAAGCTGTTTACACATAAACAGTGCTTACTTTAGTTATTTTAAGTTGTAAAGTCGGAGCGACTATAACAGGAGTCTTAGTAAACCGAAAGAACTGGAATTTTCATACGAAACTCAGAGGAATGGCCCCCAGTGGCACAGCGGTATGTCTGCGGACTTACAACGCTAAAATCCGGGTTTTGATACCCGTGGTGAGCAGAGCACAGATAGCCCGTTGTGTAGCTTTGTGCTTCATTACAAAGAAACAAACAAACTCTCAGGAATTAATTAGTACTTTCGGAAATAAAGTTAACGTAAGTGAGAATTTTAAACATTAAAAATATAACAGATATTTTTATCTTTTAGGATGCGATAAGAATAACTATTTGAAATCACATTTATGTATCAGAAAACGCCCTTACACTCCACTGGCAAAACGTTAAGTCTGAAGGTTTATAACGCTAAGAACCGGGTTTCGATACCCGTGGTGGGCATAGCATTGGGTAGTTTTGTGCTAAAGTACAAAGAAACAAATATCAGAAAACACATTTTGGCCGAACTGGTAATCTACAACAGCGAGAGAGTGTCAAAAATGACTTTTATAACAGCATCAGTAGTTAGATGTTAAAATCACATGTTTAACGTTAGAATAAATGGTAGTATTAAATTAACATACATATTCTGACACTAAAAGAAGTCTCGGTTCATGTATGTACTGATAAGTAAGCACATTTCGTAATATCTGACATATAGGTTGAAGTGCAAAAAGATATAACACAGAAATAGGTCACTTGTTAGTCCGGAACCTTGAGGCACAGCTAGTTCTGTGTTGCAAGAACTGGACATATTGTCATGCTCAGAAATACAAAGTAAAAACACTTCGGTCGAATGTAGACTTTGGTACATACATGCATAACATTGGTAAGTGATTTACACCGGGCATGTCTCTAATTCATACTCGTATAACAAATGTATCTTAACTTGTTTAAGAACACTATTAAATTTCTGCATGGTTATTTACATATTTCTTAAATAACTAATATTTATGAAAATGTACAATATCATATTTTTCTGAGAACAAACTGACACAGTATTATGGGGTAAAAAAGTTATAATCAAGAATAAAAAAGATCCTTCAGTTCGATTCAGTGAAGGGCCTGATTAAATACACATTAGTTGAGGTTAGCTAGAATTTTCTAGTAATTGAACAGCTGGAAGCTCTTCCATAAGTGGTCAAGTCTTGGCAACAAAATCCGTAAGTTAAACCACGAGTCATCTTTTATGGTCTACAATTTAACATTTAAATAATGGTGTTAAAGCTCGAATAGAAGTAAATGTTCTATAGTTGAAGGTTCGAATTTGTTTGAAACAGAGAACAAAGTTATTTTAGGGGTTCTCGTATAATTGAAAATAGCTCTTTGTCATCCAAGTTACTGGCAACTAAGCAAGATATAAAGATGGTTTTAAATACAGCACAAACTTAAATACTTTTGATGTTATTACAGTTGAAGGTTCTGCTAGGATAATTTCATAAGAATAAAAGAAAGAAGACAAGAAAGCATAAAAGTTAGAGTGAGTTAGGAGACGAAATTTGTCTACCAACCCTAAATAACTTACATTTTACTTAATTTCTTTAGTTACTATTCTTTTTTAGGCCTCTGTTCTGAAATTAAATCACAGAGCGTTTGTATCTCTAATGTACTTACTAAAGGTTCCCATTTTTCTTGAAGAACGAGATGAAATTACAGGCAGATTGACGTTGACGTTTACTGAACAATTTCAAAATGTCGCACGTTTTATAGATTTGACAGTTGTGGTTCCTTGTCAAGTATTTCGTTTGTTTTCTTTGGGTCAATACGAAGAGTCCAACATATTTTCAAACTATAGCGTTTTCTACTACTGATGATAAAAGATAGCATCAGACAATGAGCCATAGCGATTAACTTATCAACCGCGAGGACCATGACCAAAGGTGAAAACAACCAGGGAAGTTAACAGGCCGTAGTTAAGCCTAACAGTATGCTCCGGTAGTCTTCACTATGGTGTTGCGATAAAGCAGTAGAAGTAATTTTATCTAGATGTTCCAGGCAGGCAGGCAGACACAAATGTAGCCTGATGTCAATATTCTGACACAGCGTTTGATAACGACTTTGATAATTACATGCTGTACATGAAGAATTATGGCATGCACGTACTTGAATTCCAAACATGCTTTACACGTTCAAATGTAAAAGAGCTGGATTCGAGCATAATTTCAAGTCCAGAAATACTCATAATATTAATATCCCTTTATGAAAAAATAAACATTTGTTATCTCCCGGAGTTCTTCACACAGAAATAAACAACTTGTTACTACGTTGTACATTTATTGTTTTTCAATTAAACTAACTTTTATTTACATACTATACATTTAAAAAATCGTAAAAACAATCAGCTAAGGACATTAAAATAAAATAAAAAATCCGTATAAAATAAAATATCTGCATCAAAATTTGTTATACTGTTAATTCTTTTTTACGTACACCATAACCAGACACTACGAAACTCCTCGAGAGTCGTGTGTTACAAGATATTCAGAAATTCCCCAAATGTTACATTAAGTTGTGAATAATAGTTTTGGTTTTAACTTTTTTTTTAAACACAATCTTTAGAAATTATTGGGGACAAATGTACAAATCATATCTGACCACTAAATTAAATAATGGCAAGTAGACTGCTACAGTTTCTATCATGACTACTGGATCAGATACTGGCAAGTAGACTGCTACAGTTTCTATCATGACTACTGGATCAGATACTGGCAAGTAGACTGCTACAGTTTCTATCATGACTACTGGATCAGGATAGAAACTGTAGCAGTCTACTTGCCAGTATATGACTACTGGATCAGATACTGGCAAGTAGACTGCTACAGTTTCTATCATGACTACTAGATCAGATACTGGCAAGTAGACTGCTACAGTTTCTATCATGACTACTAGATCAGATACTGTAAAGTAGACTGCTACAGTTTCTATCATGACTACTGGATCAGATACTGGCAAGTAGACTGCTACAGTTTCTATCATGACTACTAGATCAGACACTGGCAAGTAGACTGCTAAAGTTTCTATCATGATTACTAGATCAGATACTGGCAAGTAGACTGCTACAGTTTCTATCATGACTACTAGATCAAATACTGGCAAGAAGACTGCTACAGTTTCTATCATGACTACTAGATTAGACACTGGCAAGTAGACTGCTAGAGAGTGAAACTAACGGTAGAAAAGAAGATATGAAAAACAATTTATTCCGTCAAAGCATGGTTATAAAGTAAATGAATCAGCCTGGGTATACTTTGACAAAAGTAATAGAGGATCTTCAGAAGAATGAAGACCAAACGATTACGGTAACTCGCGCTACAATTGTAAGTGAATCACAGAGAATACTAGTGCGATAGAAATAAAGATAGTTGGGCTTGTCAACTGAAATTATAAAGTAATTGAATAGGCCTAAGTGGATACTTGACAAAAAAAAGAGAACTAACAGTATTTATGATATGTCCATAATATCTGTAGTGTTGAATAATTTATTGTACATACGTTAAGTTGTTCTGAATATATATATTATTTTGAAAACAAGTGAATTGCGTGCTGTTTATTTATCTACTGTAAAAGAATCCTAAACCCAACAACAACATAGTATATATTTATACTATTAATAAATATAACTAAATGCTTTTCTATTTGACAATTGACAAAAAAGCTATATATATATATATATATATATATTATATTAAATTCTCACAGGTGGAAACATCTTTGGCAGCAATTATTGCTGTGAGTCGTCTTGGATAAGTCTCTACCAGCTTTTCACAGTGGGATGGTGTAATTTTTGCCCATTCTTCCTGGCAAAATTGCTCCAATTCAGACAAGTTCTTTGGGGATCATTGTTGGACTGCGATCTTTAAGTCTCGCCATAAATTTTCTACTCAATTCAAGTCAGGAGTTTGTCTGGGCCACTCCAGAACATTCAATTTCTTCTTTTGAAACCACTCCAGTGTGGTTTTTGCCTTGTGCTTCGGGTCATTGTCCTGCTGAAATGTGAATTTTCAACCAAGTTTTTAGATTCTTGGCTGACTCAAGTAACCTTGCACCATCCATCTTCCCCTCAATTCTGACAAACTTCCCAGTTTCTGCTGATAAGAAGCATCCCAATAACATGATGCTGTCACCACCATGCTTGACAGGTGGGATGATGTTGACTAGGTAATGTGCTGTGTTGGGTTTGCGCCAGACGTAACGCTTTGAATTTAGACCAAAAAGCTCATTTTTTGCCTCGTCTGACCACAAAACCTACTGCCACATGTCTGCAGTATAATTTACATGCTTTGTTGCAAACTCCATACGAGATTTAAAAAAATGGAACTTTGCAAGTCTTTCAAAGTCACTGTTGACTTCACAGTGGCATCCCTAACCAGTTTCCTGCTAGCCCGGCTACTTAGTTTGGGCGGCCTGACCTGGGTAGTATGAAGCACATTCCACTTCTTAAAGATGGACTTAACCATACTCAAAGGGATGATCAGAGACTTTGAAGTTTTTTTGTAACCTTCTCCTGATCTCCGCTTCTCTACCACTTTATCCCTGTCTTGTTTGGAAAGCTCCTTGGTCTTCATGGCTGGTTTGTCGTATCACTATGTGAGTTGTGGCTTGTACAGATGTATTTACTCTGAAGTCAAATTAAACAACTTTAATTACACAGAGACCATTACACCAATTTTGTGACCTTTCAAACTAATCTTTTGCACCCGAATTGATTTAGGATTGCCGCAGTAAAGGGAGTTGAGTACTTATACAATTAAAAATATTCTTTCTTAGAAAATCTAACTTTATTACACAATATCGGCGTTTCTTCAGCTTTTCAGTTTGGAAAGTTTCATGATTGCAAGCTCAAACAGCAACAAAATGACGGAAACTTTGCAGGGGATGAATACTTTTACAAGGCACTACTTATGGGCAAAATCTTTTACCATAGCTAGAATATCTTGAACGAAGTAGTTAGATTGAGTCTAAAATCAATGTTCACTAAAGATTTAATCTACTGTTGATTAAACGTTGTCATTAATAATACAGCACAATTTGCAAGTTACCTTGCTTTCTCCCCCATTATTATGTTTTTCGTAAGTTCTTCTGGGCAGTATCAGTCGTTACTGAATATTTACTGGAAAATCAATTTTGATTCTTTGACCATTTTTTCCATCACACGGAAGGTTAAATTTCGGAAAATCATTTAGATTCATTATTCGATACTTTCCTTACCTCTGAGGTTATGGCCAGTGTAAAAGCATATGAATATATCCCAATCCATTGTTATAAATAATAAACACCTTTGGTTATGCGCTATTTGACTGAGTTTTTGCCGAACATGACATATAAAAAATCATTTGTCTCTTGTAGAGAGAAGTTTCTGGGTGTGGATCAAAGTAGCTTTGAATAGCTAAAGTATTTATATTTTCCACTAGCTCCCAACGACAAGTATATTTGGTATATCTTTGCCAGTTCACAAGAACAGATTGCTCCTGAGGCTGGATATAAATATAATTTTTGTACATTTTGAATATGAAAATTTCACACAGTAGTGTTACGACAGCGGAAGTCACGCGACGCTGGTAGCATGCGCGCTAGAGTTTCTCGAATGATCATGAAGACCCGAGTGCATTCGAGACACCCTCTTTTCTGTATATAAGCCTGGCCAGAAAAACCAGCGGGATTGAAGAGATAGATAATTGAGTCAAGCGAACAGTAGGCACCATAAGTAAAGTGTGTGAATCATTGTGATTTATAGCGTGTATTATAAAGGTTGTCAAGTAAAGCGACGAGAAAACGTATTGACTGTGGAAATTCTGTGTATTACAAAGTTTGTACCGAGGAAGAATAAACTGGGTTAATCAAGAAAGGACTTGTATCACTGAAGTTTCTCGGAAAGAATTTATACCGGAAATTAACAAACAAGCAGATACGCAACAGTATTATACAATTCATTTCAATAACACTTGTATTAAACAGGCGTAGACCTTTTATAATCTTGCAATTATAATTAATGATAATAATATTAATGCAAGCTAATTATACAAGTAAGAAATATAGTTCGGCTTTGCTTAATTTCTAAAGAATAGAAAGGTTGAAATATCTACTCTGTATATCTTAAGTTTCCATGCACTATAATGTTTATGAAAGACTTCTTTGAATTATTTTAGTCAGCCATCAAACAATTAATTCGCCTAATTCACAAGTTATGCTATGGCCTAACGTCGTATGCTTCGATATAATATTGTTACGACAGCGGAAGTCATG